GATGTCACTATTTCCTTAAGAAAAGCAATAAAATAACTAGTAGGATTCATAAAATAATTTATAAAGAATGCTGAGAATAACTCATTGTATTTTTCTACTTGAATACCAGCAAATGATAGAAGAAATATGATACCAAGTAAGGACAGTAACACACACATTTGTATGTCTATTCTAGGAACTAGCGTAGGTTACATAAGGTCACTACAGAAATATTTTAGCAAATATTCTAGAAGATGTTCAGGTTTCTTTAATAAAAAAATAAACTGCTTCTGAATGGGAAGACTTTACTATTTAAAGAACTGAAATCATAATTCAAAGCATTTTTACATTAGAAACTTCTTTATTCTAAAATGAACTTATTTAATAATGATTGCTGAGAATGTTAGTGCCCGTGAACGAGACCAGAGGTCCTCCCACCCTAACCCTAGCTGACATTATACTGTTGATACTAGCAGGTGTTTTGCCAGAGAAAAAAAACTATAACCCTTAGAAAAACCGAAGCAAAATCCATCATCATTCCCAGACCATATGTGTATTACAAAAGATAATTCAAAGATATCCTTAATATTCAACATATACAACATAGGAAACAAAAAGTACAATGGTGTCATTATTAATGGCTTACAAAAGTCAAGTAAGAATAAATCTGAAAAAAGCACAAGATCCCTACAAAAATCATAAGACATCATTCACAGAAATGAAAAAAAAAAATAGCTCACACAACTAGAGAGCTATACTCAGTTCATGGATCAGAAGACTTAATTTAGGATGATGTTAATTTTCTCCAAACCAATGCGCTGCTAAGCAGAATTCTGGAAGGAATGGTGTGGAAACTGATATGCTCATTCTGCAATGTATAGGAAAATTCAAAGCGCTAAACTTGAAGAAGAAAAATGTATTGGAGAGCTTATGTTGTAGTGCCAGTTCTCAACCTTGGCTGCATTTTAAATCATCTGGGAGACTTTTAGAAAGCTGATGGCAACACCTTACTTTGTGCACAATTAGATCTCTATCCTTCAGGGAGATGCACAAGTATCGATACTTTTGCAAACATCTCAGGTGTTTCAAGTGTGCAATCAACTTTGAGACTCAAACTCGGTTGCATATTATTATGCAGAATGTAGTGCTAATTAAATGCTATATATTGTTGCAAGATAGCCTTAGTTAAGGCCCAAAGGAATTTATGCAAAGAGAGCAATTAAGCTCCTGTAGCAGCCTCACACACTGGTAACCCCACTCCTGGGAGGCTGACACAGGACAAGAGCAGGTTTGAAGCCAGCCTGAGTGACTTAGTCAGATCCCTTCTCAAAATAAATCTTAAAAAGGGGTAGAGTGAAGCCCTTACCCAGCATGTGTAGGGCCCCTCCGTGTGACCCCCAATACGACCGTGACAGCAACAACAACTAATGGCAATTAGATGGCTGGAAGGAAGAAGCTGTTGAACAGACCCAGGAACACGTGCACACTGTTCACGACTAAGGCAACGTCGTAATAAGGCGCTGGAGAAAGACAGCTGTGCCATGTCGCTGAACCAGATGGTTTTGTGTAAGGAAAAATAAAGCTTGGCCTCAGGTACAAGCCAAGTACAAAAAGTCATTCCATGTAGATTGCAGATCTGAAGGTAAAGGTAAATGATAGAATTTCCAGAAGATAGTATTGAATATTTTCATAAATTTAGGATAAAGAAAAATTTGCTTGATAACGCACAGAATGGAATATAATCATGAATCGAGCCCCCCTAAATACTAAAATTAAAAAGTTCTCCCCATCAAAAGATGCCATTGAATAATGAGTGGGGCGGCACATAATGGAAGACAGGAGGGGGGACACAGTGGGGGCAGGACATGTGCAAGTGTGGAAGTGACGCCACAGTGAGGTCTCTGCAATGAATGGTTATAATCATAAAAAAGAAAATGAGGGCTGGGGAGATAGCTCAGCATTCTAAGCGTCTGCATGGCAAGCTCAGGGATGCAGGTTTGATCCTGGGTACCACATACTGTGCTGGCCCCAGAACCCCAGGCACACCATGCTGGCCACCAAAATCGGGCATGGTGGCTAATGCCTGTGAGCCCAGCACTGGGGAGGCTGAGACAAGAGGATCACTACAAGTCTGAACTGTGTACTGAGATAATGTACCAATTAAGTAAATAAAAAATAAATAAATAAAATTTTAAAAAAGAAAAGAAATGTCCAGATACACATATAGGACACGTTTACAATGCCCATAACAGAGGGTGGTTTTCATATTTACTTAATCAAATCGTCAATAAAAATTTACAAAATTTAATAGAAATGAGCAAGGGCTATGAAGAATACTATAAAGAAAACCTCCAAATAGCCAAAAGGTGCAAAAAAAGGTGTTCAGACGTGTTAGTCAGAAGAGAGCTACTAGCGCCATAGGCTTCCATTTTGCTCTACAAGAATGACTAAAAAGACAGACAACCTTCTTACCAAGCATACAGATTAATTAGAATTTGCAACTCGCTTTTCGTTACCCACCTGAATGCAGACACAGGCGAGAACACATGCCAAACCATGTCCAGGGCAGCAGCCCGGGCAACAGACTCAAACTGAAAATACTCCAAAAGCCCACTAGCAGTAGAATGTGTCAATTGCCATATCCAACAGAAAGTGATATAACCCAGAAATGAATAAACTATGCAGAACAATAATTAATTTCACAAGCATGGTAAACATGTATGCCAGCAAAGAAAGAATACATAAAACAGCTTTCCATTTATATAAAGTTCATCAACAGAAAAAAGTCACAATGATGGCTAATTTGGGGAACGCAGATAAAACTGAAAAAGAGCACAAGATGAAGCTTCTGCAACATTCATAGTTTTCTGATACTTGACAACAATGACAGTTACATGATGCGCTTAAATTACAAAAACTCATCTCAATTATAACATAGTAGTATACTAATAAAGTATACAGATAGTCTGAACATGCATATCATTTGAATAGCAATGTAAAGATATAATTTTCTCCAAGTTAATATGTAAAACCATTCAATCTAATGAAAATTTCTATTGAATTTCTCATGAAATCAATTGATCTTTGAATAAATATATACGCATGAAATGTTTATGAATAACTAAGTCAGTCTATGCACTGACTCAAGAGTCATTATTTTAAAAACAGTGTAAGTTTGACCCAACTGGGAAAAACTACACTAGTGGATGGAAGAGATGTTTCAGAGACATTGCTGTGCGTGTGAACACACTGTGTGAGGCGGGCGGCCACGCAGGCCAGTAGGGAAGAGATGGCCATCTTAAGACACGGCCACCCAGGCCACGCAGGCCAGCAGGGAAGAGATGGCCGTCTTAGGACGTGGCACCTGGAGATCAGTTTAGTCACATAGAGAGCAGTAACATTACAGTGCATGCACTCCCTACGAAAATGCCCTCCAAGTAGGCTACAAACAAAATGCGAAACATCAAATGCTGAAATCAATAGAAATGATATATTTTTCTAGACCTAGATTTTTGGCACAAAGCCTTAAATCATAAATCATAAGACAAGTCATGATCTGCAGCTTAGAAACAAAACAATGTAGTCTATATGACAAAGGTGATCTGGCCCCAAAGAAACAATTTACAAATGAATCAAATAAAGCCCTGCCATGAACAGATTCCAGTCTGTACCAGTTCATTCCTGTTCAAGGCTGAGGAGGGCATGTGCCTGCATGCATACACGTGCGTGGAAAACCTGGAGCTGACATCTGTCGATCTTTCTTTCATTTCATAATACCTAATACAGACTTCTTGAGTCATGCTCACATTATATCCTGATGCACTTGCTGTATTTTAAACATATCATGATCTTAAAAGATGCTTAATACAGCTCATCTACCAAGCATCATGACTTACCCTCACTTTCCTTAAACATACTCAAAGCACATAGGTTAGTGTTCAGCTCTGCAGAATCCTTAGCAAAAAGCCCAGGAGTTATAGTCAGGAGTTTGGCATGCAGTCTGCTGAGTGCTGTACTGAAAATGGAAAACATCACGCTTGGACACGGCCACTTTCGCACCCGTGTATGTCGGAACTGTTCACCTACCCTTGTCTGCCAAAACGTCTTAAATTATTTTCCCTTAACCTTGACCTGATCTGACTCTACCACCACTTTAATTCTACTTTTCTTCTCAGGAAAAACACATAATTATTTAGAAAATGATCTCTGTTTCTTTCACATATTCAGTCATGCACTTAAAGATTCTAAGGTATATTTTGGAGTCTTTTAAAGACCTGTTACCTGAATGACACCAAAACCTAACAATGTATTCAATAATGTTAATTGAACTAAGACTTTTCAACATAGATTCTTAAAAATTATCTTGTGATGAATAGGCAGTAATTTCTCTCTTTTTTCTAATGTTTAAACATTTGTATCTGTCTCAGTACTACAGTCCTCCTGCCTCAGGCTCTGCAGGAGCTGGGATTACAGCCGTGCACTGCGGCGTGGCAGCAGACCTTCAAACTGAAGTGCTAGTCTTTAAAGAATCGAATAAGGTGAGTGGGAAGAGCAAGAACAGCAGTGGATTGTGCAGCTTTTGGAGCAGTCGAAACCTGAGGAGCGCTGCCCTCCTTACGGCGCGCCTGTGAGGGCTGCTTTTCATTTAGGAAAAAGGCCTCTTCATATTTTAGAAACAAACATAAATACCTTTGTGCTCTTGATAACAGCCTATTCTAAAAATCATGCAGAAGCAATTGGTCATCCACGTGAACGATGCGATTCTTACAAAAGTCTCAACAAGCTTTGCACCGTCCTTGTCTTCTGCCCCCATGTGCTCCAACCACCTCACCAACTTTTTGCCTTCTTCAGCATGCTTGGGTCTTGATCCTTGCACAGTTAATTGCTTTTTTTTGGGGGGGGGGATCAATTTTCCTTTACAGAGCTCATACCCTGTTAAAATCCCCCCAAGAATCCCCGAGTGAATTAGGCTTCCGAAGTACAGTGTTTTGTAGCCATCGAGGGACTTGGAGAGAGCTTACCTTCAAAGTAGATGCCAGACTGGATCTCTAGGACCCTGGGCAGGGTCCTGAGGTCAAGGGACCGGACAAAGTCTTCCAGCGATAACGCCATCGCTCTGGCTCTGGCGTGGATGGTGCCGAGCCCGGGCTCTTAGCGCAGCGTGGGACCTCCGCGTGTGACGACTGCCTGTCTGCAGCCGTGGCCCTCGCTCATGATTCCTCCTCCGGCAGGCACGTGTCACACTTGCAGCCAAGCAGGGCTGAAGCAGCTGCGTGCCAGGAGGGCAGTGCGGAGGAAGGAAGGAAAGGGCAGGAGACACGCGCTGCTGCCACTCTTTTTGTTCTCCTTGCGGCTTCATTTCCTTCTGACCCTGAAGTAGAGCAGGATGGGGGCGGGGTGAGTGTGGCTTCACCGCCCCAAGTGAGAACTGTCGGAGCTTGGTCTCAGCTTTGCCGTGCAGGTGGGCGCCTACAGCCGGGCCAGGGCGTGGGGTGCGTGTGGCTAATCCACTAGAGAAGGAGGAGCCATGCAGGGCTGAAGTCTCATCTTAAAAATGGCACCACATTAATTCATGATCTCTCCTGCTCCTTTCTAAAGTTTGGCTTTCTGCCTTATTTGCATACGTTGTGCTTTTCTATTAAATTTGTTTCCGAAAGTGCTCTGTGTCAGCTCATTTTGGAAATCTGATGCTCTGGAGAAAGTATGGAAAACACATTTTATTCTGACACAGTGAAAATTTTGATGAATCTTAAAAGAAGGTGGGGGAGGGATACAAAATGCCAAGTGATGGAGTGAGGTGTATGAATTTTCTAAGGTCCACACTGTGATGGAAAGTATTTAGATCAGTTGCTGGAGGCCAGGGTTTCCTGAGCTTCACTCTGCTTTTGGTTTACAGGTTGGCTTCAATCTTATCTTCTCCCTTCCTCCTTGGTCTCATTTATTAAATGGAGAAAAATTAGGAGGAAGTAGTACATGTCTTTCAAAACCAAATTCTACCATTCTAATCTTGTGGTTGAAGTCTAGAGTTTTTAATGTCTGCAGTTGAAACAAATGAGACAGTCTTATGAAACCAGCACCTTAAAACTCGACCTTCTCTTTGCTCTTTGTGTTTAACTCTACTAGTATTTTAGAACTAGAGTACACCAGTCAAAGTGAAATTTTCTGACATTTATCAGGATAAAAAAAAGGGGGGGAGGGGGACTGGTTTGGATAGAAGAAAGAAGCCAAAGCTGCATATTCTCTTGTTGGCCTGGACCCCAGGCTCCTTCCCAATGGACTGTTCTGACATCAGACTGCAGGGTTCACAGCCAGCTAGAGAAGCTTCAGGTTGTCCCAGCCCTTATCGCTCCCTTCATGTGGGTGGCCCAGGGTGATAGAACTCAACGCATCTGTACTGAGTATCTCATGTTACTGCTGAATTCAGACCCTAGTCACTTCTGACCCAGCAGGCAAAGACCTTATGAGGAAGCCACCTTGGATAAAACCGGCAAAGCAGGGAGTTGAGAAGGCATTCAAATGTTAAGGGGTAAAATGAATTACTAAAGCTCAATCATTAAAAGAACTGATGAGCGATGTCATAGTGGTTAATGAAATCTCAGAAAGAAACCAGACTATATATAATATTATATGTCCTGTATAGTAAAAGTGGAAATCCACAGCAGTGAGTATGAAAAACATTGTAACCCACACCTGGTTGCTAAGTAATTGAGAAGTACCTAGGAGTACGACAACATTCCATGCCCCTAAATTAAATTTTGATGAATTTTTAAATTAAATTTAAATGAAATAAACCAAACAGAAAAAAGTACAATGAATAAAATGGGAAGGATTTTTAATTGAAGTCTTTAAAAAATGAATAGGTTTGACAATAAATCTGTGCAATACTTCTGTACATCAAAGAGGAGTTTTAATAAAATCGGAGGGAAAGCACACACTTCAGGTGAAGAACAGATCTGTGGATTTATATGGGACATTCATTAGTCAACATGCAAATAAAGTATTCAAGGGCTTTTGCTTCTGACTATGAGCTTGCTTGGGACCAGTTCTCTTATGAAAGGCAGAGGAAAAACTTTTTTTTTTCCCAGAAGCAGTGTGGAGGAGCAGAATTGCTGTAGGGTATTTGGGACTTGAGGGCAAGGTCCTAGGAAGTAGAGGAGCACAGGGCAGGAACCCCAAATCCTGCCCTTGTTTTGCTTTCAGGCAGTGATGGATTAGTAGCTGGCACCGGGAAAGAAGCTGACAAACAGCAAATGCTGATGGATAAGGTGAAGACAGTGGGGCAAGTGCTTAGTACTTTGAGATTGTCAGAGAGCCTGAAAGCCAGAACTGGGAGTTAGGAAGGCATCCAGAAAGCCTGAGGATAGATTTGTTAGGCCCTCCTTTTCTCCTGTAGGACTTCTGCCCACTCAACAGCTGCACAGCTTTTAAAAGAGGGGAAAGTGAGCAGTGAGATGCTGAGCAGAAGCCACGTGGTGCTTTCAGGATCTCACAGGGCTGGGAAGATGGAGTCCGTGGAGGAGGGTGGGGCTCCCACAGACTCCCTCTCCTTCATTGAGGTCTCCGAAGGTTAACAGAGAAAAGCAAGAGGAAATGCTCGGCCAGTGAAAGAGTGGCCAGAACATCTGTATTTTTTGACTCAACAACAAAAAAAAAGTGCAAGAAACAAGGCAAAGAAAGAAAGGAAAAAATGAGAGGCATTGAGAGAACTCATGGATTAGAACAATTAGACAATTTAAATTAACCTCGCTGAGAGTGGTGGTGCATACCTGTAGTACTAGATACTGGGGAAGCTGCAGCAGAGGTGTCTCTGGAGCCCGAGTTCAAGTCCAGCCTAAGCAAGGAAGCAAAGCCTTGTCTCAGAATGAATGAATGCATTAATTTACTTAAATAAACTTGATGCACACATTGAAAAGTAGAAGAGAAGAGGGAGAAGTTCACAAGAAATTTGTCATCAGTAAGAAAGTACTGAGTGAAAATTCTACACTTAAAAAATTCAACTGCTAAAATTAAGGATTCATTGATGGTGCTTAAGAGAAGATGGATGTAGACTCTGGACTCACACTGGACAAAGGAAAGTAGAAACTATCCATCTTTGCAGACTTTTAAAATCAGAATATTCAGAAGAGAACATGAGGGAGACTTCAACCACAGAGAACAGGTCTTATCTATGTACTAACTTAAAGCATGTGAGGGGAAGAAGGAGGAGAGAAACAATCATTCAAGGGAAAATGACTGGAAATTTTACAAAGCTGGAAACATCCATCCATAGATTCAGGAACTGCCAAGAATGTCAAAACAAATGCATAGAAATGCATACCAAGGAGCAGCATACTAAAAAGTTAAAAGACAAAATCAAGAGGAGCATTTTAAATACAGTCTGAGGAGAATAATTCGGCACCAACACAGAATCAATAAGTCAGGAGCTGATTTATTAACAAAAGCTCAGCAGCACAGGTGCAGGATCTGTTTGGCAAGTGTGAGACCCTGAGTTTAATTCCTGGTATGAAAAGGAAAAATAAAACATCAAAAGCCAACTAATCCAGAATATAGGAAAATAACATCATTAAAATGCCAAAACTAACTACTAATTTAAAATTCTACATGTAAATAAAATAATCTACCAAAATAAAGGCAAAACAAGCATACTTTCAAACAAAAACTATGAAAATAAAGGCCAGCCTGATACCTCAGCTGACTAAAGTGATGCTTAGGCAGATGCAGGGGCCAGAGGTTCAGTCGCTGGCCTGCTATACTGGCCTTGCCCCCCAGGGCACACTGAGACGGCGAATGAGACTGGGCATGGTGGCATGTGCCTGTAATCCCAGTACTTGGGAGGCTGAAAATAGGAGGATCACTACGAGTCTGATCTGTGTAATAAGACCCTGTAGACCCTGCACTAAATACATAAAAAAAAAAAAACAAGAAAATACGTTAAATGTAAATCTGTACTGAAGAAATGCTAAAAGTCATTCTTTAGACAAAAGAAACACAAAGTCAAAGCAGCAGGAAGGAAGGAGGAGGGTAAGTATGTGATGACTGAAGATCGTGTGTCCCATGAATTGCAATTGTTAGGAAGTCTAAAATATGTGCTGAAATATGGTAATGTGGAAGAAAACTGGCATATGAAGTTAAAAGTACTCTAGTCCTAGGCTTCAAGAGTAGTTGTAATGGCAATCACTATTATTAAATTAAAATAAATAAACATACATAATTTCTAGGAAAACCACTCAAATATGGCAATAGAATAAGAGTTTCTTTAGAATAAGAAATACAGCAGTAGAATAATAAAAGTATTCTTTTTTTCTTTTTTTTTTTTTTTTTGGCGGAACCGGGGATTGAACTCAGGCCCTTGCGCTTCCCAGGCAAGTGCTTATTCTACTGAGCCATCTCCCCGGCAATAAAAGTATCCTTTATAATTTATGAAGGATAAAATTTGTTTTCTCATACATCTGGATACTAGGAAGTCCTGTCCAAGGCCTCCGCAGACTTGGTACTTAGAGTAAGCAACTTTCAGCTCCCAAGATGGCACTTCATGCTTTGTTTGCACATGGTGGAAGACACAGAGAGATGCAGAGGCAAGCACCTCTTCTGTCTTAGTTGCTTTCCTCCTCGCTGAGATGCACTACTCAACTTAAAGGAAAAGAGGTTTGTTTGGCTCATGGTTATAGAAGTTCAGTCCATGGCTACAGGCTCAAACACAGAAACAACATGGAGAGGGCACTGCTTGGAGAAAAGCCAAGCACATTGGGCCCTGGGCATATTGTGCTAGAGTCTAAGGGCCTCTCTTGCTTTGTTGGGCTTGCACAGGTGGGGCCCTTGTGGTAATTCCTATGGTTATGTCTGGATATGGAAATGAACACATAAGGTGGATGCTCTGAGATTCCTTTACTCAAGGACTAATGAGGGACTTGTGACTAATCTGTGGTCTATAAAGATGTGGGAGTGACTTGTATGAGTGGCCCTCCTGGGGAAGTAGCCCAAGTAGGTATTGATAGCTCTAGGCTTCTGCTGAGTGGTCCCGTGTCCAGTAGGGGGACCCTCGTCTGTGCCTCCATGGGCTGGTCTGTCTCTGGGGCTTTCATCTCCCTTTTTAGTAAATTGACGTTTATGCC